GCCTTAGAAGAGGAAGAGACCCCCGGGTATTAGCAGGTCGCAACTTCAACGGAATCCTTGAGCCAAATTGGCATCAGAGCAGACTGTGCACTGCAGTGCTTCCTCTTACCGGATGAGACCCAAGAATATCGCTGAGTCCTCGCGAGTTCTGTCATTTTTGGTCGAAGTTGAAAATGTGTCGGATTGAACAACCACCACTGACACCAGCAAAGTCGAAGGTTGAGGGATGGGTGTTTCATATATGTGAATTTAGCCACATGCTACAGTTGACCCTGGCAGCTACCTCTCTTCTTCACGTGTTTAGGAAATTATTAACCGAAGTTGCATTCAGGAACTCGATTCCGTCCTCTCTCTCTTCAGTTGCCCAAACCTCTTTTTCCAATCGCTGGCGTTCCACTTGTGGAACACCATATTGATCAACTTTCTCAGGTATGCCTTTACATACAGTGCTTTTTTCGGTAAAACTGTGAGAATTGATCGCCTTCACCATTTTGCGCCAAAGCTAGTGAAATGCGGTACATATCCAAGCATGGCTTATTCCAATATAGTGTGATGCGGAGTAGGTGTTGTATGTGTTCATTAGAGTTCCTTCACACCTGTTATAATCGAAGACTTTCCGGATGGAATTGGCATAAAAAGAAAGGTGATTATATACGTACCGGAAATGAAGTATAGTATTCGTTGGATTTTTTTCGAAAACAGTAGGCTGGAGTTCAAATAATCAGTGCATATCCAATCTTTCGCGGATTATCCGATTTCCCAATTATGAGAGTGAACTGGTCATTTCATATATAATCCTTCCCGCAGAGGCTGATCATCCGTCCTCGGATAGGCAGATGTGGTTTTCAGCTCTCAGTTTCGGCCCAAACTTCACCAACACGAAGGTGTTCTAAGTTGCTCCAGCCCGCAACAATAGTCCGCATCAACTTGTCATTAACATGAGTTTCAGGCTAAGACCGACGTCATAGTCGGCGACGGACCAAGCGATGGAGCGATCGCGATCGCTCCATCGCTTGTCCGTCGCCGACTATGACGTCGGTCGAATGTCATAGTTTGCGGATCGATATCGCTGGATCCGAGCGTTGCGCCAGCGAATCGAACGTTGCACCAGCAAGTCGAACTATGTACAGTCGATATCCGAAAGGTTGGGGTAGGTGTGGCACCGGAAGTGACGTGTACTTGATAGAAGTTGCGTGGATGAGCTGTTTCCAGCATGCTTTGCTGATATCCAGCGATGTATGCTGGCAACAGCTTATCCACGCAACTTCTATCAAGTACACGTCACTTCCGGTGCCACACCTACCCCAACTATCGGGTATCGAGGATACCAGCGAGTCGAACGATGCACCAGCGACTCAATAGTGGCGAAACCCAACGTTCGATGAACCACTCTAAAGTCCACCACTTTCAAAAAGGTCCTGTCATGGAACTGTTTTTAAAGCGAGAAATTACGATAAAATTTCTGTGCAGCATGGAAGAACGAGCAGCACTTCAAGCAGTAGCTAGAGCCCAAAGGAATCGAGATGTGGCCTTTTTGTGACTAAAGGTGCGCTCGTTGCAGCGCCCTGGGGCTGCCAATCCTTTCTGAGCTCCGCCTCCGCCTGTGCTCCGCCCCTCAGCAGATCGCTGTTCGATTATCATTCTGATAAGGTATGCCACTTCGAGCGCGTATCCAATTTTTTCTCATGGAATGCTATATCAATCAAGGTATGATCTCTGGTGGTATGATGGCAGCTATGGTTTAACGAGTGCCGACGACCTCTTAGTTGGTTGCCAACTCGTCCATTATCGGAGGTCAACGGGCAGAGGAAGTGGTCCCATTTTGCGCGTTTTTGACGGATTTCTTTGCTTTTTTCGCTACTAGGGCATTATTCAGCATCTTCACTTCCACTATGAGCACAACAGAATCCTATCGCAATCTCTCGCTTTAAAGTGGCGGGCTTCCTTTAAACGTTGGGTCCCGCCACTATTGAGTCGCTGGTACATAGTTCGACTCGCTGGTACATCGTTCGATTCGCTGGTGCAACGTTCGATTCGCTGGCGAATCGCTCGATTCGCAAACTATGACGTCGGCCTCAAAGACAGCGAAGACATTGAGCATTGCGGATGTTAACACGTTGACGACATCGCGCGTTTTGGGTTTTTGCACCGCGTGGGACCAGAGCGATTTTGCGAGCGCCGCCGCCGCACACCAAATCCATGGATTTTGAGCTGTAAATACGCAATACTTAGATGCGATGAAGTGTTTTCAATAATGTTCGATCTGTCTAACTTATCGGGAGTTCGACCGAAATGTTTTACTTACCCCTTTAGTGGTTCCAAAATTAATTTGGACATGGTTGTATTCGCTTCTGTTATTCCTTTTTATCAACATGTTTACGTTATTGAAAAGAAAACGAGGAATGAACTGAACAGACATATCCGTAAGGTCTGGAAAACCTCTGCCAAACTAAAGAATATTTGGCCTTTCTGTGAGCCATGTGGTTTTTAAGTATGCTAATGTATGGCCTATAGAATGAGTACAAAGACCTTAGGAATAAGTCGCGCAAGCGCAAGAAAAAGGGATGACTTGGGTGGGACGCGTTACCGCGTCACAATGTCCCACGAGGTGCGCAAAGTGGGACGCGTTACCGCGTCACGCTGTCGTCAACGTGTTAAATTAACGCGAATGTTGGATATTTTCAATTTCTGGATTTTAACACAAAAACATGCGCATTAGTATCAGACGAAGTATCCTTCTGTGAAAAGTTACGTTTAAGAATCCTTCTCCATAATTTGTTTTTGAATGTTCGGGTGTGGTTCACTTGGCCAGAAAGTCGCTTTTTTGCTCTATTGAACCAAATCCTGAATGTTCTTCTATTCTGCATATCTAAGTTACTACGATGATCATAATTTTTAGCTTCCTGGACTCTCTGAAATTATTTTGATTGGTTCTTATTCTTCCGATCTTTTCACGGATTTTATTGACAGATGTCAGCAGACTTACCGTATTTCAATAAAATATGCTCAGGAACAGCAACCTTTAGGTAAGGTGTAAGGCTTTTACATTTACGTTTGTCATAATTATAGCGATCATTGCTAGGATTTCTCCTGTTACATGTGAAGAGTGTGGGCTTAAGTGTATGATTTATTCACTTTTCGAGGCTGATCTATACTCCCATCTTTTTTATTTTTTTAGGTACTGCTGGCGGTTTAGTGGCGCACAAGGACACCATTATCGGGGATTCACCTGAAGGGTTATTTGTTATCAATGGTGATGTATGTGGAGACCTTCCTGTGGATGAAATGGTCACGCGTATTGCTTCCTTACCCAGTGACAGCTGTCTGCTCCTGACAACGGAGGCTACTCGAGAGCAAAGTGGAAATTTTGGAAATGTTAGTTATTTTTAGTTGACTGGAGATTTTACGCTTTTTACTCGGTAAACTTTTGAATTTTGTTGATAAATTGAATAATGTTGTGATGTCTTTAAGTTTATAAGCCCGCAATCTCCATGCGTTTTATCTCTTACATTTTTCTATTGGTAGAAAGTTGTAGGTAGCAAAAAATTTCATTGGTCTTGCATTAGTGTAAGTTATGATCATATCGGAATTCTGCTGGAGCTGCTAGCCGAACCAGTGAATTGTGGGAAGGCGTACTTTCGGGAACAACGATTATAGAATGTTTCGAAGAAGTTTAATCCGGAACAAAACTCGCATGCAAAGAGCCGGCTGATTGCGAGATCAACTGGTAATTGGGACAATTATACCAATATCATATTCCAAAATTCGTTGGAGATTGCGAGATTGAATTGAAATTGATAAAAATAGTTTGCAAAACTCGAAAATGGAGGTCGACTAATGGCAAATCCTTTCTTCCTTGATAACTGCACGTCGTGATGGCGATCCACCTAGTGGATGGACATTAACATTGGTTGTAAATTGTATCCCCTAAGTTTCGGCGAAAGAAGGAAGAAAACGAAAGCGTCTCACTGAACTTTCGTTCCAATTCACACCGTGTAGAGGTGTTTTTATTAGCATGTGTTCATGAAAAAATTCCACACATTTCAGGTAGTAATCGACAGCAATGGCCGTGTTGTGCATTACGTGGACAAGCCCACGACATTTGTTTCAACTCATATTTCTTGTGGAGTTTATTTAATGAAACCAAGCGTCATCATGGTGAGTCTATTTCATGCGTTCCTCGTAAGCGTTTTCCATGACCTTAGGTCAAGTTTCGGTTTTGAAGTATTCGATAACTGAAATCCAATCGAGTGTTTTGAAATGAGTCGATTGTTCCAAATTTCTAAAAACCTATTTGTGTTGTGTTGAACAGCTCATTCATTTGAATATCTATCCCACATGGCTTTGCAGGGACTGAAAGTCGAACCCGCGTGTAATTTATGGTTCGAGACAGACATTTTTCCTCAAATGGCATGTAACGGAAAACTTTTTGCTTTGCATACTACTCGTTGGTGGAGTCAGACGAAGACCGCAGCGTGAGTTTATTTCAGAAGTTTGGGAATAAGAAATATTGGGTACTTAGACGACTTGTTCATCAGCACGGCGATTGGCTTTGCATGGATCTTGACTTCTTTCCCAATCTTCGGTTTTTCTGTCCAGTGCACGATCACCACAAGAGATGCCATCTCATGTACGCTGGCACATATTCGAGAGCCTGGCTATCGTAAAGGACGGCCAAAATAACGCTTTTTTCGTGAGGGTGCTGTCGCCTGGTCGCCAAACACTTCCATCCGTTTTTCACACCTCTACTTTAACACTTAATCGCTGGATTATCTCAATTGCTGCCTGATCTGGTTACCATAGCGGAATCAGTTTACGGTGGTCGGCAGCCTTCTATCTGTCCTTTTTGGATTTTTTCTTCTCCATCTCACCTGTAGGTCCTGTGTCGCGCAGGTGTTATCCCTAACGTGATT